CAAAGGATCATAGTTTTTATGGTCTTTTACACCAAATAGGCAACCAATTACAATTAGAATTAGGTGTCATTTTTTACTTAGATTAATAGGTTTCTTGAAATATACAAATTTCAGCCTTCTTTCTCTAATATAGTTTGACTTTCTATTTTCTTGATAACTTCAATTATAACTTGGTCCGCCCCCTACCAATTTCAGTCTTCTTTTTCTAATAGAGTTAGGTGTCATTTTTACATCAAATTTCAGTCTTCTTTCTCCAATCTACCAATTTATTATCATGGTTGAACTTAGAGCCGAAATTGACTGAAATCGATCCAACCCGACTCAAATCGATCAAGTCGATTTTACTTAATATAGAATCGGTTTCAGTTTTAATTTCAGGTAACCCGATCAAGTCAGATCGATTAAAAAAATCTCAATAAACCGATCCAACCCGACCCATGAACAGCCCTAGTTATGTTGTGTCTTGAGATCTGACTAATTATAATTAGCTTATTATCTTATTAACTTATTAGGTTGTAGAGTTATACCCGTTTGGTTGTAGTGGTAGTGGTCGTCTAATATAATCCAACTATGAACTGTGAAGAGAATATAAATCATGGGCCCTAAGGGCTCACAAGTTGGGGTTGAAGAAATTCAAATTGGTGGTGAATCTAAGCCCAGGAATTGAAGCAGAGGGCAAGAAAGAATCCTGACAGCTATGTAGTATATAGGCTCGTAGCTAGGCTTGCCCCTATTCTATATATGGTTATGGATGGTTCTGGCAGTGGCTTAAGCTTAAAATAGTTATTTTGAGTGACAGCAGCAGGAAAGCCATTTATAAGCATTTACATGCATGTGCTTATGCAGATCCGGTCCCACCATTTAAAATCAGGTGAAGTCAGTCGGCTCAGTCCCATTGTCCACCCTTTTCTTCTCCAGCTGTTAGATTTCCTTCCTTCTCTTTCCTTCTTTCTGTTATAGCTTTCAATTGGTTGAATGGTTGATACTCGATACGCCTTCACTTCACAGTTCACACACAACACACAAGGATTGCTTACTTACTGCATGCTCAGCCTCAGTAGTTGCCGCCTTGCCGGTTGGTTAACACTTGAACAGTGCTGCTGCTATGCAATCTTTTGACATTTGTTACCAACTCGATCACTGCTCTGGACGATCGACATAGATGGATGGTCATCTGACGTCTACAGGTGATCACGTATTCATTGGAGGTATGTGGCCCACAAGACCCACGTGCCGACTCTGTATACCTTCCGATTGGAATACGTGGGTTCGTGGGATTTACATTTACCCTACGGGCTAGTACGGCTACCTTGTTTGACCCACAGACAGACGCTAGCTAGCCTGGTTCTCGTTCTTAGAAGTTAGAACTTAGAAGAACGCCGTTAAAGCGTGACGTTAACGTAACCGATGGGCGATGGATCACGGTAGGGTAAGCAAAGCGTATGAAATGAAGATTCCAATAATAAGTGGGTAATAGGCTAATAGCAATATCAATAGCATATAGGTCCGTCCATAGGCATGAGGCATCTCTCGTCCTTTCCTTTCAATGTTTCATCCTCCGCCAATGCGCTTTGGATAACAAAAGAAATTCCCGAGTGGATAGGTGGATCCCACCGTTGATTCTTCTTCTTGCTCCACACCTGACACCCCCCCTCTACCTCTAGCTCTACGCTTCTACTCAAGCCTTGGTGACGATGAGAATGAGAATTGAGATTGCTTGCTGCACAGCCAGCACACCAGCTTCAGCCCGTTTATTTGCTTTTCTCATCTCACTGGAACAGGATAACTGGATAACCATAACCGTTTGATTAGAATAGGGGCCCACCAACATGGAATATATATATATATATATAACAACTTAACGAGTGAATTATGAAAATTGAATAGAGCCAAGCCAAGACGATACGCAACAGCATTATGAGTATATGGTTGTCTCAAGTTGAATAATAATGGTTGCAGCGTTCCCTTCTGGAAAGCAAATCGCAAGACGTCACCACATATTCATTGTTTTTTTTTTTTTTTTTTCCCGCCTTCACACCTCAATGCCAGTTTCATAAATCCAGCATTAACTTTGAAAAGGAAAACCCATGAGCCCATGACATGAGATTGTCCTACTCCCTACTCACGGCTGACGCCTCCCTACATTATCTCGTCCCGGCTCGACTCCATTACATTATAGGTAATGGCACAGTCAATTTAGACGAATTAGTATCTGCTCCCCACACAGGGCGCCTCACAAAGATTTCACACGGGAGATATTAATGTGTCAGTATAATTAACCACGTGGCTATTGTTATGTTGTTTACCGTAGCGCACTCTCTTCTCTTGCCTTGAAAGTAAAAATACCAGAAAGAGATGTTACCTCTTTCGCCACGCGACATACGGTTATTGGTGAAACTTGACAAGTCAAGTGATGAGGGCGATGTGGCAATTAACATTTGGATCCTCTCTCTTTTCTTAGTGTTGTACAAAGGGTAATGGGATCTGAGACCCACCGTCCGATGCAGAACCCAACCGACTGAATTTTAATAAAAAATGAAAGAAGGAAAGAAAGAGAGAATAAAAGAGAGGAGAGTTAATATATAGAACATACACATACATAATCATGGTGAGGGCCCTCGAATAACAAGCTTTTTGAATACAAACAGGGCCCACAGTTTGATACTGAAGATCTAATTACCCATAAATTTATAAGCATATCAATCAGATGTAAGAGAAATTATTGGAGGTCCTCACTCCTCAGCTTGGTGCGTCTGCTGAGTAGGGGAGTAGGGGCAATAGAAGAGTGATAAGACGGAAAACAACAATATCTGTTTTAATATCTAATAGGGGTCTACAAAACCAGGTCCACCATATTAGAAACCGCACTGTAGGCTGGTCCATATTAACAGCTATTGTGCAAAGAGAAATTTTAGTGAGTCAACATTCGGCGCATATTAGTACAACTCACGTGTAATTTAATTTTGTCGTTTTAGTTTAGATATTTTATTTTTTCTCGTGCTGGGTCCTAGGGGCGCCTGGCGCTGCGCTGCGCTGCGCTGAGCTCGGGGGATGAAGGCTAGCAGCGAGGAGCGAGCAGCGAGTAAAAAAAGAAAGAGAGAAAGAGGATGAGAAGGAAGGAAGTGATCATGTGGTGTCTTACTTGGAGGCAAATGAGGCAAATATTTTATGTATATATTCCTATCAAAACCATACGTCAATAATAACACTGCCGGACGTGTCGACAAGACTAGACGGTGCAGGTGCTTTTAAAACCCCTCCATTTCCAAATTCCAACCCCTTCCAGTTTGAAAATTCTCTTTTTCTTCTCTCTCCTCTCATGGATGAAGTAACGTTGCATTCCAGACACCATTTGTCATGTAAGGACAAAACAAACGATTCAGCCATTTCATCCTTTCCCTTTCTTTCTAACAATCCATCCCAACTAATGACATCGCTTTGCTTCTTTTGATCAAACTCGTTCAACCCTTCTCTCTCTAGAAGTTCTGCCCATTACGTACCGTGACAGAGACGGAGAGACTCAATGTTGAGCTAGCAAATACAGTAATATATATTTTGAGTTTTCTATAATGCGTTTATTATAGCCGTGGACCCCTTAACAGTGATTAGACTCTTCTTACGATTGATAACATACGTAATTTATTAGGCCTGATAGGTCGTATGAGGCTGAGCAGCCGGAAAACGAAAACAGGAAAAGCTAAAGTTAACCTATTTGAGGGTCAAAGAGAAGATTATGAAATGGGGTTGGGTTTTAATTTCCAGGAGAAACAAGACTGCATCTATCTGCATGTTGTCTTTCGAGACTGAACTCTGAGAACAACACCCGAGAAAATATGTTTTGTTAGCTGAGCTTTTCAACTCTTCTGGTTTTTCAAATTGTCTCGTGTCACAACACAACCACCCAGAATTAATATTTTACTTGTAGAAGATAAGAAAATGAATTCGAATTCATCCTGGTTATAGACTTGTAGTTGGGTATTTAAGAAAAAAAGAAAAAACAGTGGGAATGCCCATGGTGTTGTAGGAATGAATATAATGTGAAAAACTCCGAAGTTCAAACGTCTAAACTTGAAAAATCTCAACTTGGTTTGTAGTTTGTACTGAAGTTATTGTGGGGGATTTCTGTTCGTTATACGTTATAGGTAATAGTAATACAACAATAATATCTACGACGATCTTATAACCTGGGCAGAGCAGGGTCGGCTGCTGGTCGTTTTCACACTTGGGCTGAATCGCAGGGAAAAAGATGTTTTTCGGGTTTCTTTTTCATTTTTTATTTGATTCTTTTTCATTGAATCGCAGGGAAAAAGATGTTTGAAGAGAGAGTGATGAATCGAGACTCTTTGTTGTGCGTGTGAGAGAGAGCTCGTCATCATCCCTCTCAATTCAATTCATAAGCAGATAATCTATAAAATCCCAGAGGGCCAGAGGAGAGAGGACCCAGATCAGCAAGGTCTTCGTGGAGTAAATGGAGAGAACTGAAAGACTGAAGGTGCAAACGCGTGGGGCAGTGGAGGCACGTGTATCTCCATCGAGACCTGATAACATCCCCCGGAAGCCTAGCTGATCCTGGACCAGTTATAGTGGTCTAAACGTCTACTACAAGAATTGCGGCTATCCGGCTAGCCTGCTCTGGGACTGATGCAAATCTGAGTGAAGTGAGCTAAAAGATAAAGTCTCCAAGTTTGAGGGACATGGTGATCACTGCATTTTGAATGATAATTAGGGTTTTAGTTAAGCAAGATAAAACAAGTAGATATGAGATTTTACTTGGTTCAGAATAAAAAAAAGTCACCATACAGTAGAAGAATGTATTGGATTTGTGTTTTTTATGATATTGGGTAAGATGGAATTGGAAGAATGAGGTTAAATGTTTTTTATCTTCGTATTAATCGACAAAGAAAAGCAACAAGAAAATAATGGGCGAGAGGTTTTGCTTCATCATTCGAAAGCTGCTGAGCTCCTAAAAAGCAGAAGACAAGCAAAGAGAATCGCATTGAAATCTAAGAATCCTTCTTTCTTCCCTAACTTACTTCATTTCATGGTTCATGTGCAGAGAAAATGAGCCCCAACATAGTTCAGGCTTCAGCCGGAAGAAGGAAAAGAAAACTGGGTTTATCCAATCTGATTGATCGAGAGAAAGAAAGAGAAGGACGATTTCCATTCTAGTTTTGATCACGGTGTTGATGGAAATATAAAGAGAATCGATCGGCATATAATATGACTCAAATAACAATGAAAATAAATAAAGAAAAAAGAGAAAAAATAGTGAAGCTATACGGAAGTAGTGGCTGGAGGGACACTAGCAGCCCCAGCTTCCGAAGAGGAACCACCGCCACCACCATCAACCGCTTGAGTCATCGCTGAGGAAACATTTGCCGGCATAGTCGTCGTTGTCGTGGTCGGTCTCTTTCGCTTCTTCTCATACGGTATCCCTCTTGCCTTGGCTTGACCTTCTCTTACCTCCCTCAGAAATATCCTCACAGCTCTGGCCCCAAACGGGTTGGACTCAGGCCGTCCACCGTTCTCCTCATAGGCCGCCCTGAGCCGTCCAATGAGCGCGTCGAGGCTCCCCCAAGCCTGCTTGAGCGGACACGCACAGGGCGCAGGTGGGTTGGGATGTCCGAAGTAGGCACACCCAGTTAAGTGCACCTTCGTCTTTCCAAACTGGTCTAAGTACTTCAAGAACTCGATTACGTGTGCACCACTGCACCTTGCGAGCGATAAAGGGGGCTTGTGGTTCTTCAGGTACTGTAGGAACGTGTTCCAGTCTCGCCTCTTCTGAGACTCGTACCGACTCAGTGGAGCTGCCGACGATCCTTCTGCGCCCCCACCACCCGTTGCCGACGGACCTTCGCCGGAGTTAGGCTCTGATGCACCACCCGGTGTTCTTTCCATAACTGTTCTGTCCTTTTCCCTTTATTCCTCTTGCTGGGTATTGATGTTTTCCTCTTTCCTCTGGGTCCTTGGTGATTATCTCTCCTCTCTTCTTCCAATTTCCCTCTTGGTTGCAGATTGGATTTGCTAGCTGTAGCTGAGTTTTCTTCTGACTGAGCTAAGGATCTTTCATTTAGAAGGGGAAGATTTCCTCTCTTTTCTCTCTATTGTTTCTTCTTTTCTTTTTTCTCAATTTTGGTGATCTTTTATGGGTTGCTCATAAGGTTTTTGTGAGATAGGAGGGAGGGTTTTTGGGAGGAAAAAATGAACAGTGAAGAGAGAAGAGAAAGAAGAAGGGAGAAAGTGGGGAAGATGGGGCGTTAAAAGGGATGTATGGATGAATAAGCGACGCTGTGAGATAGATAGATAGATCGAGAGAGAGAATGTGTGTGTGAATGCTTCTATTCACGTGGTGGGCCTTGTGGCCCCTTCCGACGTAACTCCGCTCCCCATTCCCCGTCCGTTGTCCGATCTCCCTCTCTGTTAGCCTCTACTCTCTTGTTGCCTTCTCACAATTCATATTTATATATGTTCAAGTCAGTAGATACTAAGCTCTGAGTCTGATGTATTACATCTCTTTGTATTAATTGAATCAATTTTATGTAAACAAAACTGGGTCTTTCAAAGGTCAACCGTCTGCTAACCTTCCTGGCGTTTGGTTACTGGAATTTTAGGTGTTAACCATTCTTGATTTCTTGTCAACAGAGGACCAAGAATGCCCCTGGTAATCTGTAAATGACTATTGATGACTAGCACTGTAGCACAAGCGGTGAAAGTAATCTCATTCTCATCATCTCATGCTTGGTTATAATCGAGGAAAAACAAGTGTTTTCATTTTTCAAACCACCAAAGTCTTTGTTGAGGAATTTCATTTTAGATCCAAGAATAGGATTTATTATGTTGGAATTAATACATGGAGAATTAAAATAAAAACTGATGCATTTTAATTTCCATGTTTCTTTACCTTTTTTTAATTTCCTGACTGCAATTAATCTAGAATTTCCAAATCCCGTTCATCTATTCGATTTCAATTTAAAGCAAACTTAGAGCCGTTTGATAACAGCTGAATGGACGAACCAAATTGTATATTGCTCTGTCTTTTTTGTGAATAACTATTTAAGGAGGTTGTGTTAATTGATTAATTATTTATACCCTTGACTATTTTATTGTTTAATTATTTTATTCATTAAAAGACAAACGAATAAGTGATTCAGTTCAGCCGTTATCAAACGGCTCCTTAGCTAATCACCTTAATTGTTCAACCGTGTTCTATGAAGGCCAGATAATAAGCTTGGCCGATTCAACAAAAACCTCCTAACAGTTTACATGAAAGCAGAATTTTTTTTGGCCTTTTTTTTTTTTTGTCTTCCATCGTAGAAGATGAGATGTCATCACTTAGACTAGAAAATAATTTGGTCTTCAGTATCTTCATAATTTGCTTTAATTTCTTTCTTCTAATTTACCTGGAATTTTACAGATGTTAATATATTGTTTACAACTCAAAGCTCCAAGGAAGTAGAACATTCCTTTATTCAATTATATCCTGATAATTACACCCTTTATTTTTTCTTCCCCATATTTATATGCAATCTGATTCTTTCTTTCTCTTCCTTTTAACTCTCCACTCCTTTCCTTTTCCCCACTGTTGCACTTTTTGTCTCCATTTTGGAGCTTAATAATGAAAATGGTCCAACTAGTTGAACTTAATTTCATGAAGTATTATTCCGAATGTATGGGTCAGTTATATGAATCCTATTTCACCATTCCATTCTATTCATTATAAAATCCGTAAATTAAATAATGATATAATTATTTTATACTATTTTTATTATATTATAATAAAGAAAGAGATTAAATATAAGAATGCCAAATCAGCATAATCAAGAAAACCACATTCAAGCTTGAAGTGATTATTGTAAAATAAAAGATTCGGTTCAGTGGATGTTATTCTGCATTAATTTTAAGCCCTTCTACTGAATTCTTATTATTTAATAATTGAATGCTGACTTAGTGAGGTGAAACATTATCTTCCAATATGCTCTAACTTACAGAAGCTTATATATGTATATTAATTATAAACCATGACTAAGGGGAATTGGTGCATTAATTTTGGAATGAAAAAAAAAAAAAAAAACGAAGAGGAAGAAGTGATGAATTGCTTGCGTAAGAGGAGGAATCTAATCGTCTGATAAGCTAAGCTTGTCATGTTCATTGGCTGATATGGGATACTGATGTAATGGGATGGACCCCACACAACAAGAGATAATCTATTGACCCTGCAAATTTACGCTTGGATTGGATCCTTATGGCAAATTGATTTTAAATAAGCTTTATCATATGACATATATAGTGAGAAATATTCATTTAGTCAAATGTAGAGATACTCAGATACAGAATATATACATATATAAAAGTGTACAGATACAGGCCCATGAACATTATTATGATCCAAAGAAAAAGAAAACTAGTGACATCATGGCACTATAGTTTTATGTTTTCATTCATATTTTTAATAGAAGAAAAGCTATCTACTATGATTCCGTTGCCCTATTTTTTATGTTTTAATAATTATTCAATATCAATATACTGGACTGTATAGTATATAGCCCAGTATGTTGGACATATCGAAAAGCTTGGACCAGTATAGCCCAGTATGTTAATTATCGATGTAAATAAACTTGATTTGTATTAATTATATATGTGAAAAATGAATATATTTTATTGGGTTACGTAACCCAATAATGTATTTTTCTCTCCATCTCATTATACATCCAATCAATAGAATTTTAATGTGTTTTTATGTGAAATTGAGACCAGATAGAGAGAGAGAGAGGAATTCSAGAAAGTTGTCATTTTCTCAGGGGAAGAGAGAAAATGAAGGGTGACTTTATTACCTCCCAAACGAGGGAGGTCTTTTACTATGATTGTGTTTCCTCACCTCAAGTACCCTCATGTCAAAAGAGATTGAATGGAAAGAAATGACTCTGTGAAAAGACCATATCAAGTTTTTTTTTTTTTTTTTTTTATAATATACCTGTTGCCATGATAATAGACATCCTATTATGGCAATTCTACGGATCACAGGAATTCTTTTTTATTTTTTATTTTTATATTTTCTACCATCTCACACCACACATCTGCAACACTGCGTCATTTCAAAGTGGGGTCGCAATTATATGCATGTGGGTCCCACAACAATCAACCGTTTGGCAATGTATCAATAACTGGGTCTTAACCACCCTGGGTTCTTTCTTTCTTTCTTTCTTTCTTTCTTTCTTCTATGTGTGGGTGTTGATTCGATACTGTTATACAGCCAAGGGCGAAAAAAATGATGCCTCTCCCCCCTCCCCCTTCCCCCTTTCAATAGCAACAATGTTCTGAGTGTCTCCCTATTGAACTTAGGGCTCCAAATGGGATCATAGCTTTGTTTGACACTATTCGATGTACCCTATTCCCTATTATATGCATATATATTCTTTTAAATGATCACAATAAATAGCAACAGTGGGGCCTTTGGTTGCCTGTGATTCTGTGAATGTATGTATGATGCATTGTCACGACTCACGAGAAAAGATATGAACAAATTTCAAGGTTGGCATTTCTTTTGTTATCTTATATGATCTAAATCTGCAACACATTATCTAAATCAGCATTCAAACAAGCCAATGAATGCAATGGAGATCCTCCAACCATTGATGAAAAAGCCTAAAAACATAAACTAATGCTTTATGTTGTGCTGCTTTTCACCAAAAATCTTGCCAAAGTTTATCTTATACAAGTTCTTCTCATGAGTATTAGCCAACTCCAAATAGGTGGGATTAAGGTTGGGTTGAGAAATCAGGAATTGCATAAACTTTGATACTTTGTATGAAGAAAGAGACAAGACTAAGAGCTTCTCATAAGTCTCGTGATCACAATGGCTAGTGGTTTCAAATCATGGGTTATACGTACACTAGGGATTTGGTGCGGGGGGACGTCTGAATGAGGGAAAAAAAAAAAGAAAGAAAGAAAAAGCTATCTTTAGAGAGGAAATAAAACTATGAAAAGGGAATACGAGGACCCACGCCTTCACCTTTATTTATTATCTCTATTCTAGTCCTAATAATTAAATCTATTATAGAAGCTCTCAAACAAAGCATTCGTTTTGATCAAATCATCAATCTGCTAGATTTCTGTACACTCCTCACCCTCCCACCACCCAACTCCAACCAACATACAATGATGGCTCTGTAGGGCACCAAAATTTCTTGCATTTGTTTCTCATCTTATTGCCATTTGTATTGCCTTGATCAGTGTTTCCGGACTGRATACGGTCAGACCATAAAAATCAGGAACCAAATGGCCTTTCCGGTTGACCAGTAAAGAATTCCGGTCTGAGTCTTAAAACATTAGCTTCAATTAGCCTTGGTAAGTTGGTAGTTACCTTCCGTCATGTCTTCAAATAGGGGAATATGGCTATACATTGGTTTATTAATCATACACATTCTAATGAAATCTGCAATAATTCTACTCTTTAGGGTTTAATTGCTATTTATTGTGTTGATTTTTGGGGACGTACTCCCTCCCCCATTCTGTGTGATTCCTTCTGTTTTTATAAAAAAAAAAAAAGAAAAAAAGAAAAAAAGAGGCGCAACGCTATTAATTTTTTTTTTCAACCACAGTTTTGTAGTTTGGACATAATAAATGAGAAGAGGTAAATGGATGGGTAAATTGGAGGAAATGGGGGAAAAGGGGATGCATCATCCATCATGTTTGATGGGTAGGGCCTCTTTAATATATTATATATTTTTAAATGTTATAACCCACTTAAGAGGAGTAGCGTAAGGAAAGATGGTTGTTACATCGTACGGTTCATGCAATCCCTTCGTTTCTTTATTATTATTTTTTAATAAAGGTAAGAGAATCCAATGCCTCCTTCATCCAAAAATCCTCCAAACCCTAAAATTCAAAACAAAAGATGTCGATTTCTACAGCCCCACAAAATTTTCTATAATTTTCTAGCATAATTTTTAATATCCAACCGGCCCCACCACAAACGATTCCCTTCAATCATTCAAAACCTCAAGCAATCAAAGGCAGCTAGGAAAATGTACTCCCCATTAAATAGATTATCTTAGAAAAGAAAAAAAATTGAAAAAAAAAGTGATAACAATGTAGCCCCATTCTATAGTTTAATCACCAGCCCTTTTATTATAATCAACTAATCAATCATTTAATTATTTATTGTCAGAATAAAATATTAATACGAGTCCAGATCTCATTAATTATTATTATTATTTATCATGGAGCCCATGAACTCACTGGCCAGCGACCACTAAAGCTAGGGTTCACCTTCCATGCTCTGCTCTTAAGTGGGTCATGGTTGAATCAGTCTAATAAGATCAAATCAGCCCCTCACAAAACTGCAACTCAAAACGTTCCACAGCATATCTTCACCGTGTATTAGGAATATCTCCAGATAATAGTATTAAGAATGATGATATCATCATCTAAAGATGTTTCCAATACACAGTGGAAATGTGCTGTAAGACATCGTGGGGCACAGTCTTGTGGGAGGCTGATTTGGACTCCAGTCTAAACCCCTTCTACATTTGAAAGGGTTCAGACCTCTGTCTTGTGGTCTCCCTGTCTTAGAAGCACTGGTTGCAATACGGTTTAACAGTTTACCCACCTATTAAAAGAAGTATTTCATTTATTGAATTTAAAAAGAGAGTAGAATGTTAGATCAGGATTTGAATTAAAAATAGATGCAATATATCTATTTCTTTCTTTYTTTTTTTCTTTCCCTTGTTTGGTACATGTACAAATGATTCACATTATTTATGTAGAGGGAGTTAAGAACCATTTAATTGAAGTAGTATATGTACAATTAGTGGTGCATGATCGTTATTGAAAGCATTGATGTTGAATGGGAATCCTACATATATGCTTAAGGACTGTTTATTTATTGCTTCTACCCACCATTGATTGTTGTTGTCCTCATTCTGGTGTAGGACATGTGAACACAGAACAAGACTTTCATTTTTGTTTCTTCTGGGTGCAAATACACTAGGTTATGAGGGGTGTTAAAAATATCCTTCTGTAGCCATAACCATGGCGGAGCAGATTAGATAAATTTCTCAAATGTAAATAAAGACTGATAGTAATACTTTATATAGGGGTGGCTTAAAATTTGAAGTCATGAATTTGGATTTGGTTAAAAAAAAAGAAAAGAAAAAGAAACCAGGTCAAGGAAAAAAAAACTTTGGATTGGGTTGGACTGAGATGAATATCATTATGGTATCAATTCACCAGGTAAAACTTGTCATAGCCCAGAATAAGACTCAACCTTATGTACATTAACTACCTATCACATGGTTCTGACCAAGTTCCTGAATTCAGGATATTAGAAAGGTGATTGTCAACCATGCTTCAACATTCAGTCACTAGGGATATGTTTGGTACTGTACGTATCAATGTTTGTAACCAGAGATATTTCATGAGAAATTAAAATGTTTTGACAAATGTGTAAGGATTTGATTTTAGGGAGAACGACGGTTCAGCCCAGGGTCAGAATTTTTAGACCTAAAGTACAGTTGGGGTAGGTGCCAGCTCGGAATTGATATCAATTCACGGGCAGACATTAGTGTATAGAGTGAGGGTTTTTGACATTTTGAATGTTTATAGGTCTGCAGTGGAATTCAGAAATCTGCATTGGGCCTGTCCATACTTTTTCGTTGATTTTAGACATATAGGTGCTGCTAAATGCCATGCCGTACAATCATAATAGAAATGCCCCTGGAGGTAGGGGTGTCATTTGGACTGGATTTGGTCCAATCCCATCCAGTCCAATCTGAGTCCATTACAAAATGGACCAGGTCCAATCCAATCCAATGAATATTTTGGACCGGTCCAGTTCAATGCCTAGACCATCCAATCTATTCAAATTTGTTTTAATTTAGATTAATTCTAAGTTTCTAACCCAAACCTGGTCCATTGACACCTATATTCCTATCTTCTATCAATGGACCAAATATTGGCTCAATCGAACCCAATCCTATATAAATTCATTATAGTTGGACCAGGTCCAATCCAATCCAATAAATACTTTGGAGTTTGGACCATTAATTCTGGACCGATCCAATTCAATGTCTTGTTGGTCCATCCAAATTGATTTTGGTTTGGATGGGGTCCAATTCAAAACCGGTCCATTGACACCCCTACCCAGAGGCTCTCAAACACCCCAGGCACATAATCTTATACAACAAGTGGTATGAATGTTGATACTCAAAATAATTTACCCAACCAAACAAATTTTGTTGCATGGCGCTTAAAGCACAAACTTTGAGATCTGCTGGTCATTGTGGAGGCTTGGGGTCGAATCCTGCCTGCACTTGAGTTGGGGGATAGGTTGCCCCCTTGTGTAGCCCTCCAAGAAGAAACCCCGGGGGAGGGGGTGCAGATAATCAGTTGGGGAACTTGCCAACCGAGACACCATCAGTTGGTAAAGTAGCAAACACAACCTAGAACTCTTTGCCTTTGATAAGATGGATGTTGTGATTGTTATTCCAGCACCATGAAGTGTTTTTCGAACTGATACAAATTGAGGAAAAAGAATGGTCTAGTAAACGTGATTTATAGTTGTGCATATGGCATTATGGCAAGTATGGATATATCTGCTGATATACAAGTTAATGAAAACCGCGTGTCACACAGCACACAATTTTACCCTATTACATGTAAATAAGAACTTAAACCTTTTTATTTTTTCATTTCAATCAATCGGTTTCATTTTACACGGCCACTAGCTGAAACTTCGAATTAAACGTATTTCCACACCCGCCTGATAGGGTTATTTTCCTTTCTTCTTCTTCAGAGAAAAGGGTGAAGTAGTAGTTCAACATTTCTAGCAATTTCTCCCACCCTAAAAATCTCTACGATTAATAGGATGATGTCAAGCATCCACCACCAAGATTGTAACACCTATAAATTGAGTAAAAAGAAAATAAAAAGATTCCTATGTCCTCAAGCATGTAGTGAAGCACGATATATTCTTTCAATTCCTTGGTTGGAGAATTCCATTCCCATCCAACACTCTTGACCTTGGAAGAACAATCACATTGCTTCAACTAAGGGACCCAAATAGCACTGGTAGATGTCCAATCTACCCAAAACAGGAATAAAAACAAAAAAAAAAAAAAAACTGGAAACAGGTAGAGACTAATCACAAGAGGTGACAGAAAGTGCTACTCGGAGGTCATTAGATGTTCCACAAATATACATTCGATGTGTTTCTATGTCTTGGTGGCAGCTCCTGGGAGAAGGGGCCCCATAGTGACTGCCTCTCATGCTTTCATGCATGGAAAAAATGATTTCCCTTTGAATTGGTTCATGGCCATTAAGGAGATTGCCCATGCTTAGAACTTTCCTCCATGACTGGTTAGCAGTGGGTGATGGAAACATATTTGCCACAGTTTGTCTCTCATTCATCCTCACCTGTTGCTTCATGTTGAACTCCTAAACAAAGATAATAATTTCAAACATATCAGAACATACTAATTTCAAGGACATTTTACAACAAAAAGGGTGATTTAAAGTCTCATTCTCATAGTTGTTGAATATGGTCCATGAATACCATGTCTTTGTAAATGACATATGCAAGGGGTTGCCCATCATGTCAAACCTAATCAATTATCCAACATATTTGACTTTTCTTGGGCAATTCTGATCCCTCATCAGAGTAATGTTATGATGGATCTCATAGATGGAACCCAAGACACAAGGTATTATAGATTTATAGTCCCCTGCAAAAACTATTAATTGACCATATTCACAGTCCATAAGACATGAGCACTCATATTTTTGCTTTCCCTAAAGAGATCCCTGTGGCAGTTTACCTTCTGATCATCACTCCCAGTTATGCTATTTCCCATTCTTGGAACATAAAAATTGTACAAGTCTCCAAAAATTGCTCCTGAGAGGCGTGGTACCTCTGCAAACTTACGATGAATAGAAGCTGCAAGGACTATTAACTTCTCAACATGTTCAAAGATGACACAGAGTCGTCTTAGGTCATCAACAACTTCAAATTTTTCAGGTAAAAGATTTGCTGTGATTGACACAAAATAGTAAAGCTCAGAAAGCTTGAATTTCATGATAACTTCAAGCTGCAAGCAAAGTCGAAATAGAAAGAACAAATGAGATGATATACCTTGCAAATATTTCAAATTTGATGCCATTGTCAGGTAGATCTGTGCTAGTTTGGTAGTCATCTGTTTTAGTCCCCCGAAAGAGGTCTGGTTTAGACTGTCAGCTGATGCTCTGAAGGCTGTGCACACCATTTGTTCAAGCAGATGATGTGGCCGCAATGTTTCCAAATAATGAAGTATCTACATAAAATAAGGTATTTTGGTTGATCATAATCCAAGGAATCATGGAATAAATTTTGAATAACAAGCAGAGCATTTTTTGTAAGAAACCATGTTTTTTCTCTGTCAGCAATCTTTAAACCATGACCTAGGTTAACAAGCACCATGCAGTTGGGCACTAAATAAACCTAATACAAATTAGTGTTCCCTTAATTTTTCTATACAATTTTGTTAATATTGCCTTCATCATCTTCTTTGAGTCTTGAATTATGCATGGTTTAGCAAAGAGGTGGTTAAAGAAACACTCTCATGTTCCTTCTTTATGATATGCAGTGTGACCCCATATAGTTGGAATAAGGCTTGGATGATGATGACAGGTGAGACCCCAAAATTTAATAGGGAAGACAGACAGGTATCAATGGTCATCTTCCATTATAATAGTTTGGATGAAAAGTGATAAGAACAAATAGTGATTTGAGATATGATATCAACCAAGCGGTTGTTTGGTATCAATGGCATTTATAAAATAAACGTTCTGTACAATTTTTTTACACCTCAGCACCATTATCTGATAAACGGCTTAAAAATGACAAACATCAGATTTGTTTTTTTTTTTTTCATAAACGGCTAAACCAAATATTTTTTTTGACGTTTTTTTGTTAAACGTGTTTATAATGCTGAGCTGACACCATTTCTCTGAAAGGCTACACCGATACCAAACACCATCCAAATAATTTTAATTGTTTTTATGTTTTTTTACTTCACACTTTTTTTTAAAGATGTGTCTCCCATGGAAAGAAAACTTCCTGGCAAATGGTTTATAGAGATTCCAGTGTAAGCAATCAAGTTGTTGGGCCACCATTATCCATAGTAAACATGACAAACTCTAATGGGTCAAACAGCAACCATATCTTGTATTGGTTCTCTCCTTAACCCATGTAAAGGTATTTTGAAATTTTACCCTCTGTTTATTTCTTCTTCCAATTCAGGGTGGGTAATGACCTTAGGATGAAACTGATGTTTAGATCAATAAACCCCTAAACCCCCCGTTTCCTCCTTCATATCTTTCAACTCTCCTTCTCAAAGGATGTGGTAATCTCTGCTTGTCTTTCTATTGATGACAATAGTCACTCATGGAACCTACATCTTAGGTTCCCACTTAAGAATACTGAGATCAAATAAGTCTCTTCTCTCCCGTATCTCAATTCGAGGTCATGAACCTTCAACCCTAATTCTAACTCAAAGCAATCTTCAACTTTAAGTGACCAACCCTAACTCAACCCAATCTTATTATCTCCAACCTGATCTAACCCACTTCAAAAACTAAAAAAAAGACCTAACTAGATGTATAAGAAAAATCTAAAAATAGTTAAGGAAATCCACTTCTAATTATCATGGTTAGTGTTGGGATCATAGATTATTGCATTCCAAAATCACATGGTGTCATTCTAGAGACAAAATAGAGGTATCCCTTTGTTGGTTTGGCCTCCTAATAAATGGAAGACTAACCCACCGGCCACCTCTTGTACACCACTGATAATGTAAACTTTAGATAGTGGACACTCTTCTCTTTCCACAATAAATGCACTACAGCAGTTCAGCTACACCATTTCCTTCTCAACCCTAATCCAATATTTAACCGAACCCGACACTATTTTTTCAGATTGGTTTTGGCCCAGTCCAAGATGTACCCCCTACTTTTTCTTTTTGGTATTCCAATGTGGCTTTGGCCCCCAAGGAGTGAGGTGCTGTATGCTAGACCTAGTCAGTGGGTTAGTTATAGGGTGCATACAGGACCCATTGGCACAATGTGCAGAACCTGCCTATTTGTGGTTTGAACCCATGCCTCCTCATTATAAGGGATGCCTTACTCCCTACCTCAGGGAGGCCTACATTTCCCCTTCCCCAACTCTAGAATTTGATTTCCATGTTGGTAGCATTTTTACAACTAAGTCCTTCTCTGAGATAAGTGCAATTGTTGTTTGGTAAGAACATGCAGCTCTTCTCATCCCCTACAGAATCAGCATTACACCTGTTACTGCTGCAATGTCAAGAAATCAGGAAGATTTGGCCATTTTTTTTTCCTCAGTGTGATTAGGTTACATAGGTGGCTTCAGGCATCATGGTACTGGAAGTTGAAGCCTGTAATGCATACTACCTGGATGGAGTTTAATAGTGAAGAAATAAGCTGATCTTTTAAGGTAAGAGTTGCCTCTGAAATTTTCCATGAAGTTGGATTCTTTTTCTGGTCAACTCTTCGATGCTAGCAACTCATGAATCCAAAGCATATCCCCCATCTATATCTAGGCCACTCTTATTTAGATGGGGAACCCAGGCCTGGTGGAACTTGGGGTAGTTTTCTTTAACCTGGAAAGATATCTCATTTGGTTCTTCGTCTTCATTGCTAGTGTTATCTTCCTGGTAAAATTATGACCATTACAATGCCACCAACATGTTTCTGAACTTTACTTTTCCTAAGTTCAAGTATTCTGCAATATCTGAATATTTCTACCAATATTAAATGGGGGTAGTGATTAGTTTGTTGTTCTAAAATTTTGTGAATCAAGTGTTGTTTTCGTTTACTTGTCAACATTCAGCTAGGACCTCATGCCTCAGCAGCTTTCTCATCCAAATTTTCCAGGAATTGCAGAAAACACCAAGATTCCTGTTTTCTAATAAGTGCTTCAGGAACAAGTGTTATTTGTTTAAGTGCACTTAAGCATACCAGATGCAAGGTCCTACCTCTGTGGGTTGGAAGCATGGATACCTTGCATATGGAGAAGGCTTTATGGTAGGACTTAGGGGATAATTTCAAGAAATGAAGTTGATCTGAAGTTCAAAGTATCAATACACCCAATACACATGAACTTGCATATCAAATGTTTCGATATCACCCAACTTTTTTTGTAGTGTTTAAAACCCGAAAATCCCTTTATTTAGAGTCTTGGAGGCTTGCTGATATGATACGATATGCCCAATATGGGGTGTATTGGATCGAAATTTTGAACCTTGAGCCAATCTTAGCTAATCAAATAAGATCCATTAGGCTATATGTATCACATGATCAGAAAATACAGTAGCTAGGTTGTGCCATTCTCATGGAGAACAACAGCGTTGAAGAACACTATACATAAGGGTTAATATGTCAATTAAAAAGCGCAAGTTTGATGTACCTTTTGCATCAGCTAATATGACAGGATTCAAGAAGATGATTAAATAAATATAAACCTAAAGGTGACAAGGAATCTCATAGAAGTGCTAAATCATGTGATCTACCTAGAACCAATATCAAGAAACTAGCAAGGTTCAGGATAATGCATGTACAGTTTTTAAGGAATTCTGACCAAAAAAGGAGGAACCTTTTTTTTTTATCAGTAAGGAGAAACCAAATTTTGTTCAAAAAAGTCTCATATAACATTATGCATTTTGGCATAGCATGGTCTTTTGAACATTGAGAGAGAGAGAATGAACCCTAAAAGGGCCAATTAAGATCCTTCTTTATACAATCCTCCCTATTTCTGCCATGGAATTCATGATGTGACCAACTAACCATTCACTGGATAAGGGACCCTCCAGATTAGCCACTAATCTACTCACCCATTCTACTTCAACCCTATACCCTACCTTATATCAGAGCTTTCCCCAAGTGGCACTTGCCATCCAAATTTTGCATTTCTTATTTAATAGAATGTGTATCAAAAAGGCTTATTTTAAAGACATGGCAAAGGGTTTCAGAATGAAATTTGCTCAATGAGGGTAAGATTTCACATAAAACTATGCACGGAAAATCACCTTTTCTCCTTCTCGATTTGGATCAAGAAGAGGCTTCTGCTCAGAAGCAGGCAAAGCAGGGGCTTCATTCCAAATTTGCCACCATGAATTTCCATGCTCAGACATGCGCTGTGAAAGCCTTCCCCGAGGAGGCCAGCTGTCTCTTGGTCCTTCCATTGCATGATCACTGGAACTTTTACTCTCTTCAATTTCATCACTCTCCCAGTCTCCAGGTGAATGCCATCGAATAAAATCTTCAAAAACAGCACTTGGATTTGCTGCTTTGAATGCAGACATATCTGGTCCAAAATTTCTATAGATAATAAATACCAAATTCATATCATACCACACACAGTAAGGAATTCAAGCAGTTTGGATAGACTAAAAGCTTATCTTTCATCACAGTCTAAAAAGAGAAATTTCAGAATTTGATAAATAAGCATTTATTCTTAATGCATAATAGAAAAAAAAAAGATACAGAAGCTGAAATGTACAAATATGATTACAAGTTAGGCACTCCAGATACCTGCTAACGTGTTCATGCTCAGTGGGGATTTATTTGGCAGGTGTAGATACTAGATTGAGATATGTGATAGGAAATGGGCAATATTTGAAAATCTGACCAGATTTTCTTCTTTTGTTAAGAACCCATCAGGCCCTCCAAACTTTTCAGATACTACCTTCTTCCACCCAAAATGGGATACCAATTAAATACAGTATCCCTTTATAAAAAAATCTAAAAATCATTACATGAGAAATGTAAATACCTCTCAGCTAGGGATAAGAAAACATTATTGAAGAGAACTCATCTCAATTGCCTACTCATTTTCTATATTTAGTCCCTATCCCATCAGCAACTGCAGAAAAGTTGAGAAAATCCAGAGGGATTTTCTATGGAGAGGATGGCAGCAGAGAGATTGTTAAGCCCAGTGGAGGAGAAGAACCTGGCGAAGCAATTGAGGCCCAACCGGCCCAAGTGTCGGCCCAGAACACCACACGAATCACGCGTATGGCACCACCCATTACGTTCGTGTATACCCGACATCCACGTATTGGGAAGCAATCATAGTCTGTAAGATGCTCAGAGTCAGTTACAGGTTGTTAGCTGGCCATTCACTATATAGGCCAATCAGCGAATACATGAGAGAACAGTGAATAATTCCTTGATATTTCTCTCTCTCTCTCTCTCGCGTGCGCGCACGCGCGTCTTCAATCTCTTGTCCATTTCAGGAGGGCTAGCTCCCTCGAACCAGCTCACCAGAAACAGAGTAGAAGCGGGAACCTATCAACTGGTATCAGAGCTTTGCTGCGATGCCACCACCAGGTCCTCATTTGCAGAAGAAAGGATCGACCGCATCGAAGGAGAAGTGCGGTAGACTACCAGTGAGTTGAGAGAAATCAAAGAGACCCTCTCAGCTCTGGTAGGTCAGTTCGAACAGATGTCATCAACTTCCAGACCCACGGATGTTGAAGGATCTAGCAACAACGACATTAGGCAAGGAGGAGCATTTCTAGTCAAGGCTGCCAAAATCGATTTTCCTCTTTACTCAGGTGATGATCTGGTTCCTTGGATTTATCGAGCCGAACGCTACTTTGAATTCCACGAGACCCCAGCAGATCAGAAGGGTCTCCATTGCCGCCATACAATCATAGTCTGTAAGATGCTCAGAGTCAGTTACAGGTTGTTAGCTGGCCATGCACTATATAGGCCAATCAGCGAATACATGAGAGAACAGTGAATAATTCCTTGATATTTCTCTCTCTCTCTCTCTCTCTCTCTCGTGCGCGCGCGTCTTCAATCTCTTGTCCATTTCAGGAGGGCGAGCTCCCTCGAACCAGCTCACTAGAAACAGAGTAGAAGCGGGAACCTATCAACTGGTATCATAGCTTTGCTGCGATGCCACCACCAGGTCCTCGTTTGTAGAAGAAAGGATCGACCGCATCGAAGGAGAAGTGCGGTAGACTACCAGTGAATTGAGAGAAATCAAAGAGACCCTCTCAGCTCTGGTAGGTCAGTTGGAATAGATGTCATCAACTTCCAGACCCACGGATGTTGAAGGATCTAGCAACAACGGCGTTAGGCGAGGAGGAGCATTTCTAGTCAAGGCTGTTGTGGTGATTCGTGGGGATTGGGAGAGAGAGAGAGAGAGGAAGAGAGAGGTACGGTTGAGAGGAAAAAAGTAACTACTGGCTGCCGCCAGTTTTCTATTTATATTAACTTCATAAAAGAATCAGAAATTACAAGTATGCCCCTGGCGGCATATCCTAGAATCAGAATAATAAGAAAAAAGAAACAAGTAAC